TGATTTGTTAATGCTCTTTCAAATTTGGCAGAAGTGTTTCAGCTTAAAATATTCATTTGTTGCTGATCTCTGGTACTCTAAGAACTCTGATTCATGGGGGGTGTAAGATGAATTTCATCTCTCTCTATCTTCCATTTCTTGTTTATTATTATTTGTTACTAATTTCAAATAGCTTTTCATTTTTATTATTGCATATTGAGTGGTAGATTAATTCTGTACATGTTCTGCTGTTGAACCGTCTTTGTGAGGAGCTAACAGCTGGAGTGCTGGCTCACAGTGAGCCGATGTGGTAGGTGAGTGGTGGGGTAGACTAGTTATTTAACTGTTATGTTACAAATGGCCATGCCATGATAATTTTGGGTAGTTTATGTTATAGTCTCTTTTTGATTTTGTGGAAATTTTGAAATGATGCTTTCAGTATTTTAAATGATATTTTTGTTCTTTACCAATACCTTCCCAGTAAATGAAACAGTTATATTGAAATAGTAAATAGTGATTTTGGAAGCCTTTGAGATGAGATTAGGTAGGGGAAGGAACAACTGTAATCATATATTTTATTTTTCTTGGATGGACAGTGGTTGGAAAGAGCTCACACAGCTGTAGAGTAACTTGGCACCAGTTGGTGGACTGGTTGCTGGCCTAAGTCATCACCTTGCCCTGTTGGTCCTCAGAAGGCTCCCAAGCCATTGTGTTTTATAGATTTCTTTCATCAAGTTAGGGAGGTTAGATTGCACAAAATAATGAAGATCTAACAGTAGTATAATACTATTATATATAATACTATTAGGTGCACTTGGGAGTCCGTTGGGAGTTTGGTCAGAAGGATATACAGACTTAGAATTGCAGAGAGGTTGGAAGACTAGCAAGGATGCCTACAGGCTTGGGAAGTGGGCAGGAAGCAAAAACAGGCCAGAGTGCTGGATGGTAGTAGTAGCTGGATGGTAGTAATAGCTGGATGGTAGTAGTAGCCATGTTGCAGGAACCAGGTCTGTCTACTATGGCTGCCTTCCCAACACAACTTTTTTAAAGAAAACATTGAAACTGCACTTGCTTTTGACTTTTTGCTTGTTTTAGAGAGAGAGTCTTCTTATGCAATCAAACTCTTAACCGTCATGCCTCAGCCTTCCTAGGGCTAGGAATACAACTATGTACTATCACACTTGACTTGAAAAACTTTTCTTATTATGCCTGTGCTTCGAAAGTAAAATGCACCAGACAAATCCTACATTGTCCACTGTTTGGAAACACAAAGATGCCCTCCTCAGATGTTCTTACCTCCAAAAAGGCCTCAGTGGGGCATTTGTCTTCCATGGTCTCTGAGACGACGACTCTTGGGACTGCCATGCCTTAGCAGTTCTGTTTTGTTCTTGTGACTTGAAGTCTTGGGCTGGTTGTCTTAAGGATCAAACTGTTATATTCCATGGTCAGCCAGAGTTTAGCACTGTAGTTCCTTAAAAATATAGTTGTTTTTTAAGGTCCATATGCTTCCATGGACTAGGAACCCAAACTGGAAATACTGCAGAGTCCCAATGTATTGAAATTAGAATCTGGCCTGAGAAGTTGTCTCCTGGCTTTGGTTCTCTGCAGAGGTCTATGGTTCTTGGTTGATGGATCCACCAGGGTCAGGAAGAAGTGGAAGAAACAGTGGAGTATGGTGGTACCTTCCAGATCCTAGCTCTTCACGGTGGCAGGTTTTATCTCTTTCTCAGGGACTAGAGGCCAGTTGACTTGAGATAGGCCACTGATCTCTCTGATCAGAACTGTGTTTCCTTTTTGGCCTTTTAGACAGTTTTCCTAATTCTTGCTGTGGTATTTTGAAATTATCTCAAATTCTGTAATACCACAGCACAATGTCCATGTCTCAAGGCTGTATCTTGGTCAGTGGTTTCAGTATTAGATGTCAGAGATGGTCATCTTACAAGTGTAAGATGGGAAATTCCTGTGCTCTCCACCCCACCCTCCATGCCTTAGCTCAGCTAGGCAAACCTATTAGTGTTCCTTACTTCTGACATTCCACTTCCTGGTATCAGTTTCTTTTATAAAGTAAGATGCTTTCTACTGTAAATAACAGAAGATCCAACTTAACCTAGTTCAAAAATAAAGAGAACTAATGGGCTTACATCACGGAAAATGAGACATGGGGTGGTGGGTCCATAAGTGCAATTCAATCCAGAAGTTTGTGATGTCATTAGAACTCTATCACTAATAATTTTCAGTAATTTTCCTGTCTTGCCTCTCCTATTTGCTGTTTCCTCCTGGGACTAACGTCATTCAGGAGAGCAGAGACGGAGCTATTCTAAGTGTCACGTTTGCCAGTCACTCCATCCAGAGGTAGACACAGCCTTTGTGCTAATATTCCAAACCAGAGTTTGGGATTCAGCCACATGATCAGCCTTGAATCAGTTGCAGTGACTGGGAAATGGATGGCTGGGGTCGTGTTGATTGATTTAATGTATGTGAGTTACATGCTAATCCTAGAGCACAGAGTAGAATTGCTTTCTCAGAACCATGTGGAGTCCCTTGAGAGCTCTTGGGAATGGGGACCCCCCCACACACTACTTTTTGTTTGATGTGCACACATAGATGTATCAAACAAAAAGTATTCTTAGTGATCTATGTACATTCTCATTCTCCCCTATGAGAATTCCCCATGTGAATTCTTTTGATGGCCTAAGGAAATGTTGAGTTAGCAAATGCTTCTGAAATTTGTTTCCATGGTTAGTCATGGCTCTGTCAGAGGTAGTGGTTATGATATACTATATTAGAGTCAGAATGTGAGAAGTGAGTCCATTTGCAGAAAGGAATGAAGTACTCTCATAACATCCCCTATGTCTTTTTATGGTTAATGCCTATGCAAGCCATCATGATTTTGTGCCCCCAGACACCTAGGTGCTAAGAAGACAAACAAAACAAAAAAAAACAAAAACTCTGCTTGAAAAACTAAACAGCTCCTGGTATTGTCTTTTTATTTTGGTTATTTTATTGCAATGTTTTGTAAAAGTTGTATTTTCAATTTTATCAGTTCTCTGTAACTCAGCCTTTGTTTTATGCGCTTCAGGTTATGAAGCTACAGCAGAACAACAAAATTAGACTGCATACAAACTTCCTTGAAACCTGTGGTTGAAGAGATGGTGGAGCAGGTTTAGTTACAGAGACAGATTGGTCGTTTAATTCCTGTTACCTGCAACAAGGCCTGCTGTCTTCCCGAAGCTGTTTCTATAAATAGGTTCCATCCAGAAATCCACCTGGGGCAGAGTTCCCATTCAGCCACTTTGCTCAGTTTAAATTGCTGGTTTGAGGTCGTTATTTTGAAACCCTTCTCAGGTTGACTTCCCCCTTAATCCCTAAGCCTTCTTCTGTCATCTGCCAAATTATATGTAATGCACTGCAACTGGAGCGCTTTGGGCATGACACAAGTCTAAGAACTTGAAATTTGATTTAAATGTTAATTTATTGTGACAGAGTTGGGCACTCACAGCCTTTCTATGGACCTTGGCATGGGTTCAACTGCCTCCTGGCTTCTGCTCCATCCCTAGAAATGGCAGGTTCCTCCCACTTGCACGTATTTTGCTTCAAAATAGAGCCTGGCCTACTCCAAAATTCACAAAGCTATTCTTTTTGATACCATTGTTGGGTTTTAATGATACGTAGGACTAGTTATTACAGGAGTAGTTGGCATGAAACTAAAAAAAGTATATATTGGGGCTGGAGAGATGACTCAGCTGTTAAAGGCACTGGCTGCTCTTGCAGATGACCTGGATTCGGTTACTAGTACCTACACTGAGAGGATCACATCCATCTGTAACTCCAGTTCCAGGGATCTGACACCCACCTCTGGTCTCTGTGGGCTCCTGCATGCACATGGTGCATATAAACCGAGGCAGGCACACACACATACACATAAATAAATCTTTTTAAAAAAGTATATATCAACAAAAATTTCTGTTCTTCTTTTAAGTATTAAATACTTCCTTTTTTAGTAATTCTTATGTAGTAGATAAAGTAATTGTTTTGGTCTAGTCCTTTGCTGTTAGGATGGTTTGCCCATATGAAAATTATGGTGATTCCTTTTGGCAGGTTATATAGACAACCTCTGTTAACAGTGGGTTATCTTTGTTCATTAGTTTTAAGTGTCTGGAATGAAATTTCTTCCCATACCAATATTCTAAGTATTGATGGGATTCTTTAACACTACATACAAAGTAGTTGTACATAATAATAGCACATGTCTTAATCTCCATGAACTTCAATTTTCTAATTAAAAATATTTTATTGCGTTTACTCGTGTGTTTGTGGGGGTAGGGGGTTACGTGTGTGCTACACTATGCATGTGGAAGTCAGAGGACAGCTTGTGGACGTTGATTATCTCCTTTTACTATGTAGGTCCCGAGAACTGAACTCAGGTCTTTAGTCTTGGCAGTAAACTGCCTCTGCCCACTGGGTTATCTTGACAACAATTTTCTCATCTTTACATTGAGTTAACAATACCTATCTGGTAGAGTTATTGTGAGAATTAAGTTAGTTAATGCATGTAAAATTCCTTGGTATAGTATCTGCTAGCTTGTAAGTGACTAATAAATATTACCAGCATCATCTTTGGAAGATGCATTATGAATAATCTTGGAATGCTGCGGATATCTTCTTGGAGGAAGCAGGTTCATATAAGGTCCAGTGCAACACTGGTGTGTTTGGGTTGGGAGAAGGGATGGTTTAGAGTTTTAGAAAGGAGTTTTGCTGGAGTTGTGCCAATTTTGTTTGGGGAGAGAGATGGCATACAGAAGGAAACAGAGACTTTGGCTTCCTAGCATCTCTTTCTGTAGTTGGACTTGGCCTGGGAGGATGAACTGGAAGAAGGTTCATTTTTGACATCATGGCAACTGCAGCAAGTCAGATTGTAGGGAGGGAGATGGTGACATTTTAAAGCAAGTGAAAATCATTTGCAGAGAACTTACCTGAGTTATTCTGCTCATTGAATTGACTCCCTTCCCTCTCTCCTCCAGCAGGAGACCATGGCCAAAATGGAGGTGAAGTCCTCACTTCTGGACAATATGATTGGTGTTGGAGATATGGTTCTTTTAGAACCTCTCAATGAGGAGACCTTCATCAACAACCTCAAGAAGCGCTTCGATCATAATGAAATATACGTGAGTATTCATGGAAGTCATTTTGTGTGGCATTTAGGCTTGTGCTTTGTGGCAAAGAGCTGGCTTTTCTACCTCAGCCTCTTCTCTCTTTGCTTTGTATTCCTAAGAGGTCAGAGGTGTTTGTTTATATCCTCAGAGAGTTTTGAGTATTTGCTGCTTGACATAGGAGTCATATTGATAAGAGTCAAGTGAGTATTTCCCAATAGTGTTTTAAATATCAGCTAGATATAGCACATAGGCGGGGTCATATTCAATCAAGCAAAATCAGTGTTTCAGCTCAGAGAGAACTCTAAGGAACATCAGACAGAGTTTTGAAATCCATAGACACCTTTTTGGATGCCTTTGTAAGACTAGAAAAATCTAGTTACCCAGATAGCTACTCATTAAAATACAAACCCTCCTGATAGCTGTCCTTCCTAGGGACTTGACTAAATGACTAGATCAGCTTTTGTACTTGGTTCTTGTACATTGAGAATATCATGTCTTGATAAAAGAATAATGGCATATACAAAAATGCAACCAACTGGGTGTGGTGGTGCACACCCTAATCCCAGAGGCAGGCGGATCTCTGTGAGTTCAAGGCCAGCCTGGTCTACATAGAGAATTCCAGGACAGCCGGGGCTATGGGGAGACCCTGTCTCAAAAAGACAAAAAAAAAACCAAACAAACAAACAAACAAACAAACAAAAACCCTGGTAAATATATCCTGTAATAGAAAACAAAGATTTTTTAAAAAGGACTTCACCCATCTACAGTCGATCAGGACCTTTGACTTATCCTCACATAGATGGAACTGGTAAAAGAATGGAGCCAGGGGCTCCTCTTAAGCTCTTGTGACCCCTGAAGAACAGATCCTCAAATAACCTTAAGAGTAACAATAAATTGGTTTATCTGGGCCAACTGCATGGTCTTAAATACCCAAAAGGAAAGTATAACCAAAGATTAAAGGGATCAGTATAATTCTTTAAGAGTCCATGGGTATAGCTAAAGGTTACATAACAAGAAACAATGCCTGACAGGTGATACCTTCCTTTGAGTTTTTGGCCAGGGTGGCCCAAGAGACTCCCAGACAGGAACCCAGCATAGAACTGGGAAAATGAACAGCAGACCCCAATCTTATCTAAAGGAATATTGGCAGCTGATTGCTGCTAGATGAGGAAGAGCTGGTCTTCCTAAAACAAGGATCTCTAGATAGGCTGACTAGATTCAGTGGATGGACAAGCACTGGGGAACGGCTGGGGGTGCTGACAACACAGTGGACAGTAACAGGAATGACAGAGTATATGGGCTCCAGCAGGGAGTTGGGGGGAGGGCATGGGAGGATGTCACTTGGGATGTGGGTATATAGATGAATAAGATTGTTTAGGATGTTCTGTATGAAATGCACACACACACAAAATCAATAAATAAAAAAAATGAGTTATATTTCAGGAAGAAGCATAAAGTTTGCTTCATGTTAATTAATAGATGTGAAAAACATTACCATTGAATTCTACCTGATGACTTCATATCCATGCTCAGGTGCCAAGGATCTCAGAAAGTAATCAGCTGTAGTAATAATCAGATATATAGAGACTGGAGACGCATGTATGAACATCTAAGTGTTAGTTGCATTAAAAATGAGTTTTTCTGTATGAAACGGTATACTTTAATAGTGAAATGGAGATGTTTTTAAAGGTTAAAACCTCATTCAATTTTATGTCTTATAGGGTTTATACTGAGTACAGTATTGTATAACTGTATTAATTCAACTGTAAACCTAAACATTTATAGCCAATTTTGAAAGAGATGCATCTAGCTCTGGAAATTGTTATTGAATATGTCAATGCTATTGTAATGAAATGCTTCTTCTAATTATGTGGTTATTAAATAAATTATTAAACAAGTACTTCACAGTGTTACTGTAATAAGCTCTCTAAATGTATTTAAAACATGAGTTGAAAAATAGATTTATGAAGGCCAGGTGTTGTGGTACATGCCTTTAATCCCAGAACTTGGGAGGCAGAGGCAAGCGAATCTCTATGAGATGGAGCCTGGTCTTCATAGCTAGTTCTAGGCCCAGCTGGGCTACAGAGAGACCCTGTCTCAAAAACACCAAAAAAAAAAAAAAAAAAAAAAAAAAAAAAAAAAAGTATGCTGTTAATATAGCCAATGAAATGAAATGTTGATTTTCAATGCTGGGGGCCGAGAAGGAAACAGAATAGATTGGATAAAAGTTTTAATAGATTTTTGCCTTGCCTCTGAGCTGTTTCCCTCTTTTTAAAATGTGTTTCAGTGCAGGGAAATGAGCCGCACTACTGGGACATGCACTGTTTTCTTGTCTACAAATGTGGGGAAGAACTGTAAACAAACAAAAAGAGGGACAGTGAGGAAATGAAAGTAGAAACATCTTTAAGTTGTGGAACTAATGAATTACATTTGCATGCCGAATTATAAGCTTTATTAATTTCTGTCACGTATAGCTTTCATTGTAGCCAACTCAGACCATTTGGATGTCTGCAATAAAATGCCGTACATGATGCCACTTACAAACAATAGGAATTTATTTCTTATAATTCTAGGAAGTCCAAGATGAAGGGGCCCAAAAGATTCAGTGTCTGGTGAGGACCTGCTTTCTGGTTGACAGATGGTGTTGCTGTGTCCCCACATGGAAAAGTGGGGAAGCTCTATGGAACCTAAAGGCACTAATTGCATTCTTGTGGGTTCAACCCTATGACCTGATCACCTTCCCAAACCATCTGAGATTAGGTTTCAACATAGAAATTTTAGAGAGATGTAAGCACTCAAACCTTAGCACTGAGTGTAGTTCAAAGGCACTGTGGGTGATTAATTTCTTTATGAAATAAGTTATCTGGAGGTTGAGCTGCTTATCCTTCTTGATTGGCATTGTAGGCGGTGGGGGCAGTGGACAATAACGGGAGACGTGAATCTCTTTTAGACTTGTACTTTGATTACTGGATGCTAAATTGAGAAACAGTTACAGTTCAGAGTTAATGTAAAATGCTGATCCAAATGGAAAAGGCACTAAATGCTGCCACAGAGCAGGGAAGCATTGTTTGGCTTGGTGGTGAGGCCTGGCATCACCTTCCCTCCCAGTTGGAGAGTACTGCTTTAAGGTGGGAAAGCTTGGCCATTCTGCAGTTCAAATTGAAAGTATGGTCTGATATCAAATGAAAGGCAGCCTTTAATCATTGCTCTCTGAGATGGAGATAGGAAGAATCAATTACATTGTAACTTAATGGTGCTGATCATTTTTCTTTTTGGCTCTGAGCAGCACAGTTCACTGTTAGATGAATTGAAAATGGAAAGAAGAACATTATGTGCATGTGAATACCTGATTTGTTGTGGCCACTAAAAATAAGACAATCCGCTTTTTAACAAAATGCCAAGTGTTAACATTCAGGAGTCTTTAGCAGATGAAATGTCTGGATTTCAGCTCTAAATAATTTTATTTTCTAAACTATTTCTGGAATGCCTTTTCTGGTATAAGACAAAAGTAGAAAATTGATTCTAACCTGCAGATCTTGAAATACCAGTTAATGTTTTCTGTGATACTTATAGGCTACTCTTTCCATGAGTTATGTGCCTTTCTTTTCTAGCTTTAAAAACGTCATGATGGATGACAAGGTGTTCGCTAAGAGAAAAAGAAAAGCAGATAATAGAGTAATGTATATGGCAGGATCCTGCTTTTTAAAATGGGAGTGAGTTTATGAGAGTACATATGTATGTATATATACATAGAAAAAGGCTTGTTAACTCTGAGTACTGTGGTGGATTAGGAAGGGACTGGAGATAGGAGGATCACTCTTAGATCTCTATATTGTAGGACTTAAATCAAGCATAGTTGCTTTTTTAATGAAAAAAACCCTAACTGCATGATGGATATGGTTATCATGCATCCTAGCATCAAATGTCATAAATCCAACTCTTTGGAATTTTTTTTCTGGCTCTTATTCTGATGATACTCTTGCTTTTCTTTATCTCATTGGTTATTATGAAATTATTTAGCCTGACACTTAAGTCTGAGTTAAAATGTATGCAGCATCTTACTGTTTAGTGTTTCACTTTGATTTTCAATTTTGTCTCAGAATATGAAGATGCATTTAAAATCTCCTCTATTCTCACACCTTTGTTTTATTCTTTAGGTGACCATCTGGCATTAACTATCATGTGAACACATTTAATTGTGTCAATTCAGAACCATATTTGACAAGGTGGGGGCAGGGTGTCACTGAACAGGAGAATTGGCCTAGACTTTTAAACTCTCGTTGTGGTCCTAGCCTGAACAATCTCCTATGTAGCCTATCCCTAGATTGGGGAACTCTTGTTTTTTTCCATCCTGGCGTTCTTCCACCCTTTCTCCTTCCACATATCAAAAAATAAGAACTAGTGTCTGCTTTGACAGAGCTCTCATAAGAGATTGTTTTGCTCTGGATGTGGATTACTCCAGAGCCATGACAACTGTTAGTGCTCCTCTGAGCCTTTAGCCAGCTATTCTGGAGGGAGACTCCCTGTGATCCTGTCCTACAAAACTTAGAGTTGTGACTAGGGGAAGCTCTAGGCTTTGCACCTAGTCAAGGTATCAGATTACATTAGGATGTGTTTGTTTATAAGTAGCAATCACCCAGCCCAATTTAAACAGTAAAATTTCTTCATCTTTATACTCAAGTCCAGAAGTAGTCAGCTTCTAGAAGTGGGGTGACTATGTGGCTCACTGATACCAAACACTTTGTTTCTTACTATCTGTCTACTTTGCATCCATGGCAGTTGCTTCATTCCCAGGCTGCCAGGAGTAAAGCAGCTGCAATCCAGGCTTTGCACTCACACCCTGTATGCTATCTAGGACAGAGAATGTTTCCATTCTGAGTCAGAGTCCTGAGGCTTGCTCTAGTGAGGCAGCTTGAGTCATGTCCCCCCTCAGTCCAATCAGTGTGGCCAGGTGATAGGAATAGGAATGAGTTGATGGCTTAAGAAACTATTGTCTGCTCTTGGAATTGGGC